GTGCACCTACCATTCACTTTGGGCAGCACAATCGCTTGCACCTCCATTTTCAACAGGTTTTCCAGGGGTGTGGTCTGCAAAACAACAACAGTGTGATGAGCAGTCGTGGGCTCAGCTGTCGTTAGCAGATTTGCAACAGATTGTTCAGGGACCTTCTGCAACAACATCCTCTCTCAACATTGCAATCATTGTATTTAATCGGTCGTCGCAGTCCGTGTACAATATGATCAGGGCAGGAAAGCACTGTTCAGTATGTTCTCTGCGACGGTTGAGGCTTGGATGGAATGTCATACCTGGAACTCTCCCACCTCGCTGGCCGTCAGGGTCAGAGTCAAACTGCCGGAGAAAAGACAGATGCTATAAGTACCTTAACACATCTTGCATAGAATTTGCAAACACTAACATTAACTGTACTTCTGCATCATACAGAAAGAAAATCCCTAAGTGATTTGCCAATTTCTTCACTAGGTTGATTTGTAGAAAGGTGGGCTTGGGGTGTTGTGGACGGAACGGGACCTAAGAATTCTAGACCGATCATCTTTCAGACCCGACATACTGTACAGCTTCTAAAGATTTCAAGATCACACTTCCTTTGAATCTGGCTTTATGTAGCCTCATGTCTTCAGCGCTCCATGAGATTAAATTGCAACATTTATAAACCTTTTCAATTTGTACCCAAAAAACATAAACACACAAATATCCCCAGCATTTTTCAAACTGTGCGTTCTATAGCTAGGGCTGGTGTTGTGAAAATGTATTTACTCGTTACATGACATTATTATTGTGTTATTGTTATATGTTATATGTTATTGTATAGAGCCTACAGGACAGGCAGTGGCCCCAGCTTTTCTCTGTGTATCTGCTCTTCGCAGGAAGCAGCAGGGGGCGGCAGGAACGCTCACCTCCTCAGAGCCAGAGATCCAGTCAGCTTCATGTCCGAAATGAAGGCCTTGGCATCGAGACTGGCTTCCTTCAAGAGAGAAGAGATTGATGGGGGATCAGGCCCTGAATATACACCACTGCGCTCTGCCTGCGATGGGCAGGAGAGAGCACAGCATTGGGACATCCCTTTGAGAGGCTTACGATGATGTAATGTGATGGTTAACAGTTAAATTATCCATTTAAAAACCCAGGATAAATGGGATTTGTGAAAAGTTCGTTTTGAGGTCCTCATTCCTGCTGCTCGGAGGGGGTGGTCATCACGCGGTCGCTGCAGCAGAATCCCTGCTCTTCCTCTGGGTGAAAGTAACCACACAGGTTGGCCCAGCCCCGTGTTACTGCCGGCCTCACCAGCGCCCCCCAGAGCCCCCCGCGGGTGCTCACCGACTCCAGGGTGAACAGAGGGGCCAGGGAGGAGTTGGGCAGGATGGCGAAGACCTTGGCTGCCCCCGACAAGCCCACGGTGACGTTGTCGGGCTGGAGGGAGACCATGGGAGGCCTGCTGGCGAACGCCTGGACGGTCATGAGCATGTTGGGGAACATCTTGGGCAGCTGTGGGGAGACGGAGGGGAAAGGAGAGCACTCGTCTGCTGTTCCTGCCCCCATTCGGATGGGTTACAAGGAGGAGGTGTGTTAACGGGGCATCCGAGCTGGATGAATCGTTCTAACTACCCTGAACAGGAAGGGTAAAGGCCGGGACAGGTCCTGCTGCAGGGTTTTTGCCAGGGCTTTACAATGAGCAACTGGTTCCGACCTAAAGAAACAGGACTCTTCATCCCAGCCGGATCGTGCAATCGGGAGATTAAGGTCAGAGCTGGGGATGGAGGCCGGAGCTCACTGGATGAGCATTGGAGCTGCACTTCTTTGGATGAAGGCAGATTTTTTTTTTTACAAGGAAAAATTACATTTCTATCCCTACAGCTAACGTGTAGAATTACATGGACCTGCAGCATTATGTGATTCACCGCAGACTGGCAGTGAGGCCGACCCATGGTTCTGGAGTGGCACGTGATCCGGTTTTCACTCTAGGCTCAGCCCTTCTCGGCTTAATCGAATCGCTTCGTTAATCGGAGTCGCCGAGCCGTGGGAAAGCCGAAAGGTCCTGTACCTGAGGGACGAAGGCCCCGAAGCTGGAGGTGTTGAGGTGCACTGGAGACGTCTTGGGAAGCTGGAATGGTAAAAGACGGATATCGGGCACAGTCACGACACCCTGATCGTGCCAACCCATCTCTCGCGTCCGGTTTTTTCCCCCACAGTTTCTCAAAATAATTCAGCCTCTGTGGTGGTGCTTTAGGACAGGACTCCCCAGCTCTGGTCCCATTAAACTACATTTCTAAAGACTGGGAGAGCTTGGGACATCATTAATCGATTAAGCACTTAATTTCTTCAGTGCAGGGGATTCAGAAGGATTTTCAGATCTTTGTTCCAAATGTTTTGAAATGATAGTGTGGCATAGTGGTAAGCATTTCTGCCCAGCCGTGCTGGGGCTCTGGGCTAAATCCCTGGGGTGCTGTCTGTGTGGAGTTTGCATGTTCTTCCCGGGCGTGCTTGCGTTTCCTCCCACAGTCCAAAGACGTGCTTGTGGGGTTAATTGGCTTCTGGGGAAACTGGCCCTGGTGTGAGTGTGTGTCTGTGTGTCTGTCGGCCCTGTGCGATTTGCCTGCGTACTGCCGCTGCGCATGAAAAACACTTTTTTTTCTCTGGACATAAATGAATAAATCCGAATGGAAAGCCGCCGGCGGCGGGGGAGGAGGGGTGGACTCACCATGCTGTCGGTGAGGTTGACCTGCAGCAGGCCGGCCGCCAGGTAGGCGAAGGCGGCGGAGTTGAAGAAGAACTCGGACAGGCCGAGCGCGAGCATGCGCCCCTCCTGGGGGGCCAGCGAGAACGGGCCGGCCGGGAACGGGGGCTCGGGGTGCCCGCGAGCGCTGTAGAACTCTCCCTGCGAACCGAGTGGGGGGGGGGTTATTTTATAGGGGTGCGCCGCTGCGTAGCGTGCACACAACCCACAGAGGAACGAGTGAAGGTTTCTTGCCTGCTGAAAACAGGGGAAGGAAAGTTTCGGCTGTCGAGCCTCCTTCGGGTACAGGACCCTTCGGATTCACGCTGTGTTTCCACAGCGGAAACACAACGTTTCGGCTGTGGAGCCTTCTTTGGGTGTGAAGAAGAGGAAGAAGTAGCCCGAGAAGGCTCCACAGCCGAAACGTTGTTTCCTTTCTTCTCTTTTCAGCAGGGGATAAACCCGGGTACCTGTTCCTTTGCAGCCTACGCATGCGGACGCAGCTCCCTGCTCGAGCTGCACAGTTACGGTATATATGTGTAAGTGCAAAGGCGTTGCCAGTTGGAACGGGGCTTCGTACCTTCAAGTCCAGCTCCATATCTGAATTTCCTACCACGGGGGCGCTGAGGAGGGGAATCTCGATGAGAACGTAGGGGTCGATCTGGAAGGAAACTAGGAGCGAAATCGCAACTGTGAGACGATGCTCTCGACAGGCCGGGCAGAATCGACCCGTCTGCACCTGCGTCTCCTCTGCCTTCATCCGTCTCTGTCTGTCCCGTCCTGTGCGTCAGTCTGCGCAGGCGGTTTTCATATAATGTCTTATTTTTTAAACTGTTGCCGGCGGTATTCGTTTCAAGAGTATGATTTCGACAACGCCAGGGCTGGTGGCGCCCCTACTGGTAGTACAGTGGCGCTGCAGTACCTTTCATCTCTTGTAGGTGTCTCTCCAGGCCCTCGACCGACTGCGTGATCATCGGGCAGATCTTAAAATACCGACATGAAAAGGACGATCAGCGCACGATGGCACGATTCTCTTTTGTTTAAAATAAATCCTTATAGAAACAACTATAGAAACTAACGAGTGTGAACGGATTCCATAATTAAAGATGCGATAAAAACAAGTGATTCACTTTGATTCTGTTGAATGCAAAACAACGAATTAAGTAACAGTGAAATCTTGAATGACTACCGGCGCTTCCCGGATTGCAGTTTTAAAGTATGCGCTGAAGATACTCATGTTTTTTCCACCCTTGTTTTACTACAAAAAATGAGAACTGCAAACATGTAGAAATAAGTATTAATATAACGTACCGAAGATTCAATCTTTTGTTGGATTACTCTTCGAATTTCACCGATGAACAAGCTGAAAATAAAGCTTAATAAAGAGAGTTAATTATGCAGCTGTTACTACCT